AGTCACTTCTGTCAACGTCTTGTAAGCAATGTTCCCTCTAAGGCTTGTTGGTTCGTGTGCAAAATCATACAGTTGTGTGCACATTTTTACAGCATCAATTTTTTTGTGAGCAAAATTTTACAGCCCACAAACACAAACACACACAATTTGCTGCGCGGATACTCAAAACTGCTGCGCCGCGTCTGCGCAGTTTAAAGGGAACATTGCTTGTAAGATGCCCCGTATTTAAAAAAATCTAAAATATATATAAAAATTCTCATTTTCATTATCTAAAGGTTGTAGCTTAATGCGAGGATGTTTTCAATTCGTTCTTGTGTCATGAACTTCTATAGATGTTGTATTATTGATTATAAATAGCGGATTCTAATCTCTTCTTTCCTAATTCATGAGATTTCTAGAAGCCCTTTGATCTCTTTCTTCTTTCTTTTCTCCTTCAATTCTCTCTGTTTCTTTTTGAACAAATGCCCTTGTTTCATCTCCATCGTATCCCAAGTCTTTGGCTATCGCCATTGCAGTAGAACCCGGTGGCCTCGGAGTTTGCCAAAAAGATTCGAGATAACCGATGAACGAGATAACCGTGGTGAAAATGCTAAGACTTAACAAACAGAGAATTTTGTGGTTCCAATTAAAAAAACTTCGACATAACAGGGTTGGCGAGCTAACCGATGTCGAGATAAGCGGGTTCGACTTATTTATTTGAAAAATTCCATTTTTATTCTTATATCTTCAAGTAGGTGATGTTTTATTGACTTTAATCTATACCATATTAAATTTAATCAAGCAATTAATATGTATAATTAAATCTTTCATAAATGCTTTTGTGATATCATAAAATATAATGTATATTCATAAATTAAATATCAAATACAAAGTATGTGAATTAATAATTATATTTATAAAGAATAAATATGTATGATACTCACGGGGCGAAATAAAAACAATTCACTATTTTTGAACAATTGATAGAAGAGATAACGAGATAAATTATCACAAAAAGTAATAATTGATAACACAATAATTTACAAAAGTATGTAAGATTTTTTACAATTTTTACAATCACAATCTAATAACAAAAAATATGTGTTTATTAAGAAGAGCGCCGAAATTTTAAAAAATCCACACTGTGCTAAGACAACACTATTCTCTCAAATTAACACAACAAAATGTGATCTGAAAGAAATTCATACCTGTGCTCTTACACTGATGATGCTAAAGAAATATCTGAGCACCCATACAAATTGATTATTTACATAACATACAATACAATTTTTTTAAAAATAATAATTATCTTTGATTTATGATGTTCTTTCTTGTATTCAATTCTCCTTCCGCCTCGACAGCTCTGGAACAGTTATTGAAATAACGTCCTCTTTTAAACACTGTCGCTGGTATAACTTTAGTATCCCAAAGTTCAAATCAGTTCATGTCGTATTCTTCTCCACTCACAGGGTCATCAGTATGAGTATTACCCAACGAATTTCTATGTCATAGTTCAGCCTGACCAAACGTACTATTTTCCACATCAAGGCTGGTCTTGCTTCAGCCGGAGATGATTGTACCCGGGGAGATCACTCCAAGCACAAAGCATCGTCTGTCAATTGCAAATATCAGTTTGTGAAGTCCTCCAAGGAAGTGTTTAATAATGTATCCCCATAATATTATTAATGAACTCAATATTAATGGTCTGTGAAGCGATATCTTATAGTTACAGAAAGAGGGTGACGTTAAAACTCGTGTGTACAAGAACACTGATGAGTTAATCGGGTGTTCCTGAAGGATCTACTGAAGAGATTAGTAACTTGGTGCCAACCTTTGGTTAGAAACAGCTGATTGCTCACGAAGGAAAACAACAAAGAATGGTGATTGTAGTTTTCAATAGACTTATGTCTTCATCGGTATCAACAGTATTATCTCATTCGACCTCTTACCATAGCTTTACATAGCTTTACACCGCTGGCCGAGTCTGTTTTTTTTAGTGCCGTTGCAGCCCATATAAACTTAATGCTGTCACGTCAATAAAAGTTTAAGATCAGGTTTCAGACCCATGTGGGCTTTAAGGGTGGGACATTTCTAAATCTTGCATAATGGTATAATCCTGCTAGAAAAGTTCGTGTTTTTTTTTGTTTTCTTTTTTTTTTGGGGGGGGGGGTGTGTAAGTTTCGAGTCTTCTCATTTACGACTGAATTCTCCAACTGTTACAATATAATTTAATACATTTGTCAGACAATTTTGGTTGACAGGTTTATTATTTTTTATAATAAAACTTAACAATAAAAAAACAATATTTCTTTTTTTTAAAAGCGTGTGCATCAATTTACCAAAGACTAAAACTAGCTAATAATTGATTTTACCCAATCAATATAAATTGAACTTTTAAAGTTTTAGAGACTCACCTTGTGATCAAACAACAAGAAAATGTCCACAGTGTCTCCCTCACCCTGCCCAAAAAAAAAGGAATTGTTTTAAAGCCCCAGTTGTAAATTTGTAGCTGAGGTTATCAAATTAGATCTACAAATATGTTGTCTGGGATATTAAAAACCCTAACATGGTGTCTTCTTTTTTTTTCCTTCGAACTGTTACTAAATTTAAGAATAACTATTTGCCCCTTTAAGTGAACACTATTTTACTTAAATGTATAAAAAAAAAATTTAAAAGACTACTACAAGCCTATTAAAAAAAGGAGTTTATTGATAAAATCAAGCAATACATTGCATTTAAGTTTTACTGAAGATGTTTTACTTCGTCTATAGACACAATAAAGTTGATATAAAGCACCCAAAAGAGCGAAAAGCAAAACAGTGTCATAGCAAAAAGGCTGTCTTTTATTTTTTTTAATTTTTTTTTTTTTTTTTTGACTTTCATGGTTAGATTTTTGCATTTTGTAATGAAAGTTGAAAGAGAAAAATGCTGCGCTAATTAATTAAAGGTATGATTTTTTTTTTTAAACCCTCACCCTACCCGGTCTTAAAAAAAAAAAAAAAAAAAAAAGTTTCATAAAAAAAAAGATGTTTTTTATTTTTTTTAATTTTTTTTTTTTTTTTTGACTTTCATGGTTAGATTTTTGCATTATGTAATGAAAGATGTAAGAGAAAAATGCTGCGCTAATTAATTAAAGGTATGATTATTTTTTTTAAACCCTCACCCTACACGGTCTTCAGGAGCAAAGCATCACATATTGGCTAAACTGATTTAGCTGCATGGGTGACGCTGTGACAGCCACATTCTAAGCAACACGTCCATCGAATCGTCTCTAAAAAAAGAAAACAAAACAGCAACAAAAAAAATCACAGGTGAAAAGGCGAAATGTGTCCTTATTGTTCAGCTGAGCGAGTACGAACTCGATGCAGTATTGTAAAGGCATTTTGTCATTGAGTAAAGACCTAATGCACAGAACGCTGCTGTCAGATTCCACGCAGCCCAACCCCCGTCCCCCCGAACCCGGAACAGATTTGGTGACCTTAAATTTGAAACTCTTCTTCTTCTATAGTATATATTAAGGGCCCACGACCAATTTATTGGCTCCTATGCATGTAGAAGGGATTTGCGATGTGTCTGTGCCTGGTGTTGATGATATTTCACTGTGGACCAATAATGTCATAGGCAAAAACACATTCCTCATCCCAAGAACATATACACGAATCCATTAATCTGTTTCCCAAGTTGAATTTTTTTTCTTCTTTCAAATTAAATAATATTGAGTCATCATTGACAAAACCAACACATCAAACTGGCGTATGATAGACTTTAACAAAAATAAATCAAGATATTCAATTTTTTAAGTATAATTTTATTTTTATACACTGCTACAAACACTTAATGAAAATAAATAACTACACACATTTCCAATCAGAGCACATCAACACCCTACCGTAGTTAAATAAAATAAAATTTAAATCTTATTTTACACGCAATTTCTTTTTTCAATTTACTCTTAACATTTAGAATGTAAAAATTTTTGCTTTTTAAAACAAATATTTATTTGGTATTATTTAAAAAAAATTCAGTAAATATAGAAAAAAAATAAACACAAGATCAATCGTACACAGCATAAAGCGTACACAACATTGAGTGTACATATCATCGAGCATAGGCAACATTGAGTGTACACAACATCCTGCGAACACAACATCTAACGTGCACAATATCGAGAGCACACAACATCGAGCGTATGCACAACATCGTACACAACATAGATTGTATGCAACATTGAACGTACACACCATTTAGCGTACACAACATATTTAATATACAACACATACAAGTCAAAAATTCCATTTTTTACATTCTAAAAATGGTAGGGAGAGGGGTTTGGTAACAATTTTGTGTAGAGGGCATTCGGAAAGGCTTGTTTCTGGCGTGCTATGTGATAATTTACTTGGGAACTAGAATCCCTGATAATAAATCGAAATAGGTTCGAACAAAAAGTATTCGTATAAATTTAAAGTTGATTTGATACTCGTTATTACAGATTGACGATTTGTACACTTGTTTCGATCATCCTATACGATGCGTACACTTGTTTCGCTCATCCTATACGATGCGTACACTTGTTTCGCTCATCCTATACGATGCGTACACTTGTTTCGCTCATCCTATACGATGCGTACACCTAACGAAGACATTAGTCCAGTTTCTCTGAATGTCATACAGATGGTTTTGGTGTGACGCTCTTTGTGCGATCCCTAATTCAACAATCTACCAACCAGCGACGCCACCGCCCTGGTCTATGGTGCTATTCTAATGTTCAGTTCTTCTTTTACACCGCTGATTTATTACACAAACGATTTCCGTAAAACAAAAGATGACATCACGAACCACACGCACTTCCGGTATTTTGAAGGATCTCATTCAATTAAAAAAAAACCTTCGATTTTTATGTAATGAAATAAGCGCCAGTCGGTAGCATTATTTATGTTGGTTGCACACGGCATGACGCATTTTGATGTTTCTAAAAGTCAATAGAATTGCAAATGGCAAATGCAGACTGCAAGTTGTAAGTAGCCGCAACCGCAAGTGGCCGACAACGTCTTCGTGAAACGAGAGTTGAACTTCAAGTACACGAACATGTTGCAGGACATGTGAAGCTCCTCGAAGAAAAGCCTGATTGAATTGGTCATCTTGTAGGTATTCGAAAAGCGACCGTAAAGACTGTAGTCTGCGACGCACAGAATGACGTAGGAGTTCAGTAACTTGAAGGTGTTGAAAGAGATGAACAGGACGGACACAATCGTAGTCGACTTGATGGCCTGCAGTTCTTTACTTGATGTTATTTTATTTTGCAGAGGCACTGGCTCAATGTTTTTACAATCAGATGCGCTTATCTCTCCAACTTGATTCTCGGCGTCATGCCAATGGCCATCATTCATTTTTTTACAGCAAAACTTGTATTTGTTCCAATAAATGTTGCCACTGCCTTTAGCTGTTCCACTTTTGAGATAAGTAGTTAGTGGACGCATGTTGGAACTCGCTGAAGAATTCCTGAACTTTGATGATGCCCGTAAAGTGGAAGCTAAAACAATCAAGCAAAAAATGACAGTGAATTGACAAGTGGTGGTGAATATTACAGACATGAGCGCTATTACAGGGAAAATCTGTTGTCTGATTTCAGCTGTCCATAATACAAGCAGAGTTCTATTGGTGTCCGGTAATATAGTTTCCTGCAGACCTTGCGTTGCTAAGATTGGCAAATGCATAGATAAGATCATAATTGAAATTCCAGACAAGATGACGTATGTTCTGGACGCAGAAAACGTGTTCTTGAAGCGAAACGGCAGCGCAACACACCAGCATTTTTGGACTGCGATAAAGGTCGTGATCCCTTGCGAAATGTCGTAAATCGCACCGTAATAAAACGTTATCAGAAAAGTCAGATTTTTTCCATTTATGTTCCACAGTTCTTCAAAAGCGTCCGTGAACATATAACTAACATTGTTCAGTATCAACACCAACACACTCGCCAAGTCGGTGAACGAGAGGACGAAGAAGCAGATGTTGATGCAGTCTTTCAGTCCAATTTTCACATAGACGAAGATGTTGATTACGTTGGCGATCACACCAAGCGATAATATCGGTGGTTTCAAGATTGTGCTCATGATGAAGTCAGTAAGCGAACGCATTTCCGCTGTGGTAAAGTCAACGAATTTGATGGCTGGGACATCCGTTGCGTTCATTTGTGTTGTTGTTGTTGTTGCTAAAAAAATGTTCTTTTGTTCAGTGGCTTACACACCAAACACCGAAAATTAAATCTTATAAAATAGCTTCTAAAGGTCTTCACATGAATGTCTGCCTACTACTAGTATATCATGAAACAGAAGAAGAAATGAGGTTTATCCGAGTTTTCAGATCATTGGCAAAGACGAAGAAAACTGTGCGAGAATGTGTTCTAATTTTACTTCTGAAATGAAATTTTAGACAAAACAAGTCTATTAGTCTATTGGTCAAATCTATTAGTGGTGTACATTTCAAATTAAAAAATAAGTTACTTTGCCCGAAAAATACAACTTTGTTCCTTGATTTGGTTTTTTTGTTCCTAGAATTATCTAGGACGCTGATTCCAAAAAAATATCATTAGATTCTTTCTCATCTTCTCTTGCTTTTAAGATATGGCACATTTAAAAAAAAAGAAAAAAATTATTTCATTATAAATTAAATGTTTACAAGCTTAACGCCATTAAAAAATCTTATTTAAATAGGAAATGCATGTTTTTAAATTACTTCACTGAAATTTGTTGGCGTATAAAGAACTTTTCGGATTCCTTTTTTAGACTCTTGCATTAAATTGTAAAATTTCATTAAAAAAAAATCAAACTTCTTCTTTCTTATTAACTAATTATGTTCAAAATAGTTATATTATAAATAATAATTTGGGGAGATTATTATCTGTTTAAGAGCATTGTTTTGCATACGTCTATACTTACTTTAGAAAAAGTACAAAAGTAAGTCATTTGGTGCAAAGACCGGAAATAAAGATAAGCCTCGAGCCCATACTGTATTCAAAACATGGACGGACAATTGACTCTAGACAATTGGGAGTGAACCTTCATGGATTTCGGATTAAAGGTGTTAAGAAGAAAACCAACGACCACTTCGAAAGCAGTAATTTTATTATTGCTGATGTTATAGAATTCAAACTGACCAATTTCTTCAACCAGGATACATGTTCGGCCGTCAACAGAGCTATAGAATGTGGTGACAGTTATAATTATTTCTAAACAACTTCTATGATTTCACGTTTTCCCTTGAATGAAATGAGTAATCTGATCTGTGACTGGGATATACATTGTTCGTATTTACTCTGACTCTGTGACTTTCTAGCGATCCCCCCCCCTTTTTTCCCAAACCCAGACGTATGTAAAACAATGTTCAGGCTTGAACAAAGATACTTTTCATCAAAGGAGAGGACAGTATTAGCTTTCATTCTTATCAAGACAAGAATTTAATACTTCAAAAAATACATCATGCGTGTGACAGAGGAACATTGGTTTTTTTCAGAACATAACCGAATCTTGTGATGGCGTGTCATCAACTGTTCCAAGCGGATTTCATAACATGATCTTTTGATAAGTTGTAACAAATTTTTTGATTGCATACCAATAGATCAATGAACCAGATGGAAAGACGTATATACAAGGCAAATACATAGCATTAGAAAAGATAAATTCCCCTATAATATCTGAAGAAATGTTTTAACTTTTTGTAGACTCGAAAATGTATGCTACATTTAACACAGTTAACACAGTAAGTATACAAAGTAAACCTGCCACTTATTTCTTCTGGGATAGCAGAGCGAACGCGTACATTGTGTGATAAAAGATGTGGCCTCCGTTTGAAATAGGTAATCGGTGGAAAAGGGACATTTTGTCGCTGAAGCTTTAGTAAGAGTGTCGTACACACCACCGTGCATGCAAATGAAGCTAAGCGAGCCCGATCAGACCAGTTTGTAACGGGTTAGAGTCAAGACGGTCGATGCGTGCCATACACGGCCAATGAATGATCTGAAGTGAACTATTTCACCATTTCACCACATGGTTATAACTCGCCAAACATTGGCCACAGCAAAGCGCGAACTTCCCATCTCCTAAAGTTACTTGACAAAACATGAACTCAAGTAACGCACATTTAAGAACCTCAATTTTTACTGCAAACCTTCCCCCCCTCCCCCAATCTCCCCCATGATACGTCACTGAAAACTTTTTTCCAGCCGATGAACTCTCTTAACATTCTGATGTCCCAATCACTTTGAAACCCAATATTTATTGCACAGTATTTACATTGAGAGGATTTGATTTTCCGAAAAGAAAATATTTTGCATCAAACGCAGTTGCGCTATTTAAAAAAAAATGATAATAATTTAGCGGAGTTATAAGGAACTATACTTGGCGCGCTATCCGGAAATGGAAACAGTCACACCACACACCAAATATATATGTAAGAGATGATAGATAGATGAAACGGTAGGTGATATAAAGAGTAGAACGAAAACGAACAAATATAGGTAGTGTCCTGGCAGAATTCACCTTAAGAAGGCTTACACAATAGACTACATATGTGTGAAATAACTGAGGACTTTGTGCTTGTGTCTGTGCATTTGGTTTCAGTTGGTCTCATACTGGCATGCGCCACTCACACACGACGTCATCGGGGGTAAAAAAGGTGTGATATTTGGGACACAAACGGTAGGGTTATGGTGACGTTGTGGTGATGCCGTGGTGACGTAATGGTGATGTTGGGGTGATGTTACGGTGATGTTATGGTGATGCTATGGTGATGTTATGTTATGGTGATGTTATGGTGATGTTATGGTGATGTTATGGTGATGTTATGTTATGGTGATGTTATGTTATGGTGATGTTATGTTATGGTGATGTTATGTTATGGTGATGTTATGGTTATGTTATGGCAATGTTAGGGCGATGTTATGGTGATGTTATGGTGATGTTATGGTGATGTTATGTTATGGTGATGTTATGATGATGTTATGGTGATGTTATGGTGATGTTATGTTATGGTGATGTTATGATGATGTTATGATGATGTTGTGGTGATGTCGTGGTGATGTCATGGTGATGTTATGGTGATGTTATGGTGATGTTATGGTGATGCTATGGTGATTTTATGGTAATGTTGTGGCGATGTTATGGTGATGTCATGGCGATGTTATGGTGATGCTATGTTAATGTTATGGTGATGTTATGGCAATGTTAGTGGAAGGATTTTGGTGCAGGATCCTAGAAGTGTGGGCAAGTTTGTGTTTTCGAGCATCACATTATTTTTATGTACCTTGAGCTCATTATTTCATTGCTAGCTATGTCCCGGTGTTATCATTCATATTTTTTTTAAAAATAGCTAGTAAGATTGATAATATAATCTAGCGAAGACTAATCGCTGTGAAAGTTTCACTATCGGTGTAAAATGAACGAGATCCATGTCTTTAGCCAGAAAAAAAGACACACCTATTTAAAAATGTAACTGAAATATTTAGTTAACGTATTTACGATCGAGACTTACAAGAGCAAAGTTGTTTTGACTAAAAAAATGTATCCAAATGTTACAGAATTGCTTTTTCGTATTAAAATATATATAACTATTCTGAACATAATGCAACACTAGGCAAGGTATCTGTATGTTTTATTCGCACAGCTAGAACACACATATATAGATATGCTATGTGGATTTTTTGGTAGCGTAGGTTTAATGGCCGAAAGTGCTCTTAAGATATCCGTTAGCACGTGATTTCTGTCGACCTTTGTGTTTCGCGTTAGACAAAGGATGATTGTCCGATCAATAGGCGTTTACGAAGAGGGGGTCAACAGACCAGTGAAAGTTAACTTGAGAACCTCTTCATGTGATTTCAAGCTAGAAAAACTCGAAATGGGAAAAATGGGGGGGGAGGGGGTCCTTTGAATGACGAATATTCCACATTCTCTTTTAAATGTAACACACTTTCAAATGCTGTATCAATGAAAACGTTTAAAAGTCTATCGCTGAGTTAAAGAGGGGGTCAACAGACCAGTGAAAGTTAACTTGAGAACCTCTTCATGTGATTTCAAGCTAGAAAAACTCGAAATGGGAAAAATGGGGGGGGGGGGTCCTTTGAATGACGAATATTCCACATTCTCTTTTAAATGTAACACACTTTCAAATGCTGTATCAATGAAAACGTTTAAAAGTCTATCGCTGAGTTGTCCACCTTTGTTGGAACTTCTAGAAACACTTTACGGAGATCTACAGACATTTTTGTCAATCTGGGGAAAGTTATTAAGTTCTCAAAATTTAAAAAAAATATATTTAATGTCAATGATGCTAAACAAAGTGTTGATAATATTTTGAGTCCATACCCTATCCTCTTGTAATGTCAATGTCACACAGAATACTTGGGGGGGGGGGGTAGCTTTCAAATATTTTTTGTTGTGGAAAGTTCATTCTGATTAAGCACTCGCAATTATGTTTGCCACTTGTCTATGGTCAAGAGTTACTCTTGGGATCATTTTGGTTTTTTTAAACACTCACGAAATGACGTCATTAGAACATTATTTTTAGTGTATTTTTCAATATACGCAATAGTTATTTTGTAGTTTCCATAACGAGGTCTTGATAATCTCTATTGGTTGAGAATTTGCTTGGAGAAAAGAAAAAAACTGACTACTTGGAGAAATTTGGTTGAAGAATGACGAATCAAATCAGGATTTACAGAATAGTGTCCTTGGAAATATTCCTTTTCGCATACCAATGAAATAGTAAAAATAGGTTTGTGGAAGCTCGAATTTAAGGACAGGACAATAAGATTGGAACGTCTCGGCATTAGAGCCGTCTTCAGCGCACAGGACAAATAAAAATATCACAAGGAACATCGTCCTGTCCTTAGATTTAAGCTTCCACGTACCTCGTTTTGCTATTTCTTTTACTTAGCTTGAATGCAGCCCTTTAATTATTATAATTTCGCATACCAGTTGTTTTTAGTCTGCTGATACACATGTTAACATTTACCTGAAAATAGCAGAATCCTCATTATTGAAAGTTAACATATCTGTTCTTGGGTAGAAAT